CTCTCCTCGGCTCGGGGAGGGGAGGGGGATCTAGGGGTTACAGCAGGGAGCGGGGGGCTGGGAGCCAGGACGCCTGGGTTCTCTCCTAGGCTCTGGGAGGGGAGGGGGATCTAGGGGTTACAGCAGGGAGCGGGGGCTGGGAGCCAGGACGCCTGGGTTCTCTCCTAGGCTCTGGGAGGGGAGGGGGATCTAGGGGTTACAGCAGGGAGCGGGGGCTGGGAGCCAGGACTCCTGGTTCTGGCCTGGCTGGGTCACTGGCTGACCTTGGGAAGGCATCCTTCCCTATCTGCCTCAGTTTCCCCTTTGGGATCCTCTGACCCCGCCCCCGTTTCTCCCCAGCCTCGCTGTCCCCAGAGAGGGCAGAGGACTCGGATGCCCTGACGGCCGTTAGCAGCCAGCTGGAGGGCTCGCCCATGGACACCAGCAGCCTGGCCTCCTGCAGCCTGGAGGAGGGCGTCGGGGAGGGCGCCGTGCCCGGTGGGGCGGAGCAGCCTCCTGCCCACGGTGCCCCCGGGGCCGTGCCAGCCCAACAGCGCCCCGAGGGCCAGGCCGGCGGCGACAGCCTGGCCGATGCCAGCCAGCAAGGGGAGGACAGGTATGGGGCAGGGAGTGCGGCAGGGGAGTGGGGGTCTGGCTTGAGGCGGGACTCGCTAAGAGGGGGCTGGGATCTGGCCCCCACTCACCCCCTGCTTCCCATCCCCCCAGCTCACCCCCTGCTTCGTCCTCCGAGAGCTCCTCTACCAGGGACTCGGCCGTGGCCATCTCCGGAGCCGACTCCCGGGGCATCCTGGAGGAGCCGCTGCCCTCCACCAGCAGCGAAGAGGAGGACCCGCTAGCAGGTACCGGGGGCGACCGACCGGCCTCTTGGCAGAGGGGTTGGGTCGCTGTGATGCTCTAGCTTGGCTGTAGGGGGCGCTGTGCTGCCGAGGGTGGGCGGGGGCCTCAGCAGGGAGCGCTCTCCCCTGGTAGCCGGGGCCAGGCTCTTCATCCTTCTGGGCATTCAAACGATGAATCCTGGTATCCTCGTCAAGTCCCAGCTGTGTCCGTTCTCCTGCCGCAGCCCCACGGTGCACAGCCTGCCCCAGAGGTGGCTGCATTTCCACGTGTGGCGAGCCTTCCCTGTGCAGTGTTATATGCGGCTGTTCCCCAGCTGCCCCGCCCCAGAGGTGGCTGCATTTCCACGTGTGGCGAGCCTTCCCTGTGCAGTGTTATGTGCGGCTGTTCCCCAGCTGCCCCGCCCCAGAGGTGGCTGCATTTCCACGTGTGGCGCGCTTTCCCTGTGCAGCGTTATGTGCAGCTCTTCCCTAGCTGCCCCGCCCCAGAGGTGGCTGCATCTTTTGCTGACACCCCCATCTCCTTTCAGGGATAAACCTCCCCGAGGGCGTGGACCCTTCCTTCCTGGCGGCCCTGCCAGATGACATCCGGCGTGAGGTGCTGCAGAACCAGCTGGGCATCCGGCCGCCAGCCCGGCCTCCCCCCACGGCTACCACCCCCACCCCGCCCGTGGTGAGCAACCCCGGGGTGACAGAGGTCAGCCCTGAGTTCCTGGCTGCCCTGCCCCCCGCCATCCAGGAGGAGGTAAGTGCTGCTCCTGGGGGGGAGGAGAGAGAGCTGTTTGAGGGGAGGGGCTCTGTCTCAGGCTTGGTGTCTGGGGGGTGGGGCTGGGGCAGAGCTGAGGGGTGAGAAGGTGGAGCTAGGTGTCAGGGTGGGTGGGGCTGGGGGCCATTTCCCTGTGGGGGGTCTCTGGGCATGCGTGAGGCTACGATTCTGGGGGTATGGTCGGTGGGCGGGGCTATGTCTCTGTGGGTGGGGTCTGTAGGCATGGGCGGGGCTACGATTCTGGGGGCTTTGTCTGTGGGTGGGCTCTCTGGACTGGGCTACGGCCCCAGGGGTGGGCTCTCTGGATGTGGGCGGGGCTACGGACCTATGGGGGAGGTGCTAGCTCTGTGGGTGGGGCTACGGCCCTGTGGGTGGGGCTACAGCCTTGTGAGTGGGATCTGTGGGTGGGGCTACGGCTCTGGGCGTGGTCTGTGGGCGGGACCATGGCCCTGTGGACAGGGCCCCCCCGGCAGTGACCTGTCCCCCCCAGGTGCTGGCGCAGCAGCGGGTGGAGCAGCAGCGGCGGGAGCTGGCGCAGGGCATCAGCTCGGACACGCCCATGGACCCGGTGACCTTCATCCAGACGCTGCCCTCGGACCTGCGGCGCTCGGTGCTGGAGGACATGGAGGACAGCGTGCTGGCCGTCATGCCCCCCGACATCGCCGCCGAGGCCCAGGCCCTGCGCCGCGAGCAGGAGGCCCGGCAGCGCCAGCTCATGCACGAGCGGCTCTTCGGGCACTCCAGCACCTCGGCCCTGTCGGCCATCCTGCGCAGCCCGGGGTACGGGCCCCCC